TCGACATAATCTCTTATGTCATTCCGGAAGACTCTTCAAGATACTCGATCTCCGTTGATATCGAGGGTAAGAAATGTCACAAGATGAATATACAAGAAAGGGATTCCGACGCAATGATGGTTCTTTTTTTGTTCAGGAATGATGGATGTTCATCTTAATTAATAAGAGAAGACCTATTTGGTTGTCATCTTCTAATACTAACGACGAAGGTTACGAATATCTTTCTAACGCTTTGATATTATTCATGGTAATTAATAAAATCAAAAAAAAAAGAAATTGATACTAATTTTTTGTAAATTTACATCAGGTTCAAATTTACTGAGTAGTTTTACGCGATATATATCCATTAATATATATATATATATATATATATATATATATATATATATATATATATATATGTATGCATATTTTTCTCCTTTCTGGCAAACATCGAAGAAGAAAAGAAAAACAGGAACAAAGAGAAAACAAAAAGAAGAGTTACCATAACGATAGAAAACGCGAAGTCGGTGGACGGAATGATGTATGCCGCAAACGAGGTTTCTTTTTCCACGATGGAAAAAAGTAGTGCAGAGTATCGGAAGGAGGCGTTCGAGTGGAAGTTCTTTCTACAAATAGACAATGACGTCAGTGTGATCTTTCTTTTGTCATTGGTCTCGTAGTTTCATATCGTGACGAATGCGCGCACGCGCACCAAAGGACATAATTTTTTTCATTTCGCACCAGTAATCACGAACTGCCACTAATCCAACCGACGTCGATTCATTATCTTCTCTTTCGGTATCATTTTCATGCTCAAAAAGAGCATGAAAAACGTGCTTTCTTTTTTCGAGAAACAGAGAAGAGAATCCTCATATCTCTTAGGTTCCTTTCGATTTCCATTTTTACGCTATGATTACGTCGTTGAATAGATCAACGATCTTAATGATTTACGTTGCTTTATTTATCTTCCGAGTAATGGGGAGAAAAGGTGAAAGCCTCATTTTTCTTATTCCATAGGACTGTATTACGAGGGAACGATAAGTATATTATTAATAAATAATCGATATCATTTTTCATTCCAATAATTTAATCATTCAGAAAGTCAAGATCAAATTTATTAGCGGAAAATTGTACTCTGATAATTCTCAAATAAAAGATGATAAAACATTTTGGTCATTTAAAGCGAATTTCAGAAGCCGGCAGACGGTGGAACGGCACGCGATAACCGGAAGTAGCCGATAAAACGAGTCGCGAACTAGTATATGGCTAATTTTCTTTGGGCATAGATTAAATCGCTTTGGAAGAGAGAAAGAAAAAGAAAGATAGAATATGAGTAAAACGAAAAGAAGAATCTCGTGAAGGTGGTTCTCCTCGACCGGTAAGATACACGGAAGAAGAGTTTGCGGTCTTGAGAAGAGAGCCTAAAGACGAGTCGAAGAAGTTGCTTGAAGAAGGACGTGTCGAGAGTGAGTCGAAAAGATAGAAAGAGGGACCGCTATATTATCTCTCTCCTTTTCTCTTCGCTACTCGCTACTTTGCATTTCGTTGTTATTCAGAAATAGTCGCAAACCGTAGCGTACCTACGTCTACGTTCTCTTCTCCCATCAAACCCCACTCTTCGTACCCGTACCATCTCTTTCCAACTGTTTCGTCATCCCTCCTCACCGGTACCGTTCTCTCACCCAACGAGATGTTTTATTAATGAAAATGAAGGAGCTTCTTATATCTTCCAGCACCCATCTTCGCTCCTTCCATCTCTGTCCTTTCCTCATCGCTTCTTTTCAACGTTGTTCTTTCTTTCGCCCACCACTGTTTCCATTTTCCCTGACATTCTCACTAACCATGCCGTCCTATATCTCTTTCTTTCTTCCTCTCTCTCTCTCTCTCTCTCTCTCTCTCTATCTCTCTCTTTCTCATTCTCTCACTCTCTTTCTCTACTTCGTTCTTTGTATCCGTCCTGCAACGGCTACCCTACTGCCATCTTCCCTCTATATCCCCCCTCGTCGCTACCAGCCTTGCCTAGGGGTGGTAATATTACTTTTCGTATACCGGACCGACCCCCGGGGAATGCGACAACGAGCTCTGTGCGAAATTAATTCAGGCTCCTCTCCCGTATCATGCATGCCTCGGTAGGTCGACTTTCAGAATTCGCGGAAAAGGACCGAAAAGTCCTTGATATCAAAATAGAAGTAATAATCTCGCACTGAGCGTTATCCATCCTTCCTCCCTCCTCTCTCTAACATTTTGGTCAACGTTTACGGCACTTTGATCTCCGAACTTCGTTAATCCGTCCAGATAAAACTTTTTAACCGAGCACAGCTAATTTCGTTTCATTTCGATTGTTCACGATCTCTCTCTCTCTCTCTCTCTCTCTCTCTCTTTCTTTTTCTCTATCTATCTATCTATCTTTCTCTTTTGTGAATCAGAAATCTGATGCGTTCGAGATGGTACTAGCATGGTACGAGCATCAGGGGAATAGAACAATGGTTTTGTGCTGTTCTGATCTCGATAGACTTACTCATCCCTTGATATCATTTTTTAACGAGATGTTGAATTTCCCGATCATTTTTTCAGCCTTACATATTTTCTCCTTCTTTCTTTTTTTTTCTTTTTTTTTTTTTTGATCAGTACTATCTCTATCGAAAAAAACTATCTTTAATTTAATTTTTCATTTACAATGCGACAATCTTATTTTCTTTGTTTCTCGTGGTGTCACTTTGAATGATCGTAAATCTGTAGAATTTGTTCACGTTTAAAACGTTAAATTAAAACGTTCTCTCTTTTCATGATAAATAAATGATTTATTTTCTATCGTTATCTTATATCCCCTTTACAATTATTTTAAATTAAATTTTGAAAATCGTTCAATTAATAATGCTACTTGAGATAGAGATATAGACGTACAATTAAAGATTCGAATAAATGGTTGAAAATAATATATATGTATGTGAGTGTGTGTCACCTATCCGTAATTAACAAGGATAAATATATATATATATATATATATATATATATATATATATATATATATATCGCAAGCACGTTCAACGATACTATCGAGGTAGAGCCGTCATTAATTCCAACGACATCGTCGACGAGTTTTCCAAAAAGCCTTGTTTTAGTTATGACGCAAAAGCTCGTTGCTCGTCGGTGGTATCGAGCTTAGCTAGGTTGAATATCGGGGCCGACGCGTTTGCGGTCTACTAGAATATTCATTTATACGGAATATACGCAACAATATATTATTCTAACGGAAAAGCGAAACATGGGGTCCATTGAGACATCGTTGCAGGTACAAATGGGTCGACGTCGCGACGAAGAAAATTTCTCTTTACCCTTTTTCATCTCTTTCTTACTCCCTTTGGGAGCTGACTCTTCTTAGGATCCTGGCTACAATATGTTCTATATTTTTCTTTTTCCTTTTTTTTTTTTTTTTTTTCTTTTTTTTCTTTTTTTTTTTTTTTTATCTTGTCTTATGTGATATAACACGCGAATGAAAAGAAAATGAAACGAACGTTAAGAAAAGAATCTAAAAACAGAACGAAACATTTTCGATGTTAAAAACGTTAAAATCGCGGTAAATGAACAAGCACGGATAAATAGTAACGATTCAAGAAATATCATAACTTAGATAAACTTATCTCAACTTATAGGGAATATTAGACTGCATTAAATTTTCAATAGATTATGAAATAATATCACACGCCAAAGTAAGAAAAGTGATTCATTTGTAAGAGACTTTCAGAAAGTCAATTCTCGTAGAATATTCTTGTTGGTTCGCGAAAATATTGAAATAATGGTTGTCTTTATAATAACATACAGTGACTTCAGTTTACCATGTTCTTAAAAATTTTTTATATTATAAATATTTGAACCGCGGCACTTTTAGAAAGAAACATATTCAATTGTACGGCGAAAAAAATTGGAGAAATGCTGATCTAGACAAATATTAAAGACGTCGTTAATTCATTGTATTAATCATGATATATTCAATAAATATCAAATACGGTTCGTATGCCATCGAAACTTTTATTTTATATATTTTTATCGACGATATTATTCTACTATCGAAAGTTGAAATAAATTGTAATCTGCTGTTTGATTATAAACTATTTATCGTAAGCTCTTTCGAGTAATTTATTATAAAATGAAGAAATAAGAAAATAGAAAAGTAACATATGAACTTATTGCTTTTCTTGTTACATCAATAAATGATAATTTGTCACATAGTAAAATGACTGAATCAAATCATCAAGCAGGAAGACATCGAGGATATAATTGAAGTGGCATGATAATGAACGTCGTGTTTATCGGATCCGTTTTTCGTGAATGAAAAGGTTTCGTGTAGCGAAATAACGCGTGCGCCGGGTAGCAGTAATTACATTGGTCGAAGAGCAAACGCACAGACCGCAATGTTTTGCAGAGAGTTAATTACGGAAACAGAGTCTATTATCCTGGCACAATGTCAACTCATAGTACTAGCGTCTGCTGACTGCACGGTTAATACCTAAATTTAATTTCCACCGCAGTGGCTTCAATTTCCGAATACCACCCACCATACAACTTCATCCCTTCGTGATATACGAAATTTTATTGATCATAAACATCAATTGTCTTGCACGTTATCCACGATTTTCTATGACCCGTTTCCGTCGTATGATAATCTTCGCCAACAATTTCGCATTAATCATGCAAAAGAATTAGAATTTAAATGCTTTATATTATTATATCTAGTCCGTAGTCCTGCGACGTCAATTAAAATTTTACGAGTCAAATAATTTCTTCTCTTTTACAGTTAAATAATATAACAAATGAAAAGCCTTAACTCGGTATATTAAGCTATAATCTCAATTCTTGAAATCATAAAAGAATTTCTTAGGAAATAAATGAATCTACTTCTCGGATGAAAAGGCAAAGTGTAAAAAGATAAAAGTGTTTTCTCACTCAGTACTTTCCTTTCTGTTTCTTCTTAAGCAATAAGAACTTGTACGAGTTTGTCGAAATGTCTTCTAGCATACCTAAATCCAAGCATCCTTGTCCTTTTCCTTGTCGTCGTCGTCGTCGTCATCATCATCATTATTATCCTTATATCTTTTCATCTTGACGTGTTGTTTCACGGCAGATTCAAATAATTTCGCATGATGCGTCATGTACTGAAAGACGAACAAGTTCGTGGAAAGTTCAAATGGAGAACCTCTTAACATTGTATTTGTTCTTTGGTACAAGAAATGGACGACGAGAAAAATAGAAAGTTTAAGGAAAAAATGAAGAAAAAATGGAGAGAGAGAGAGAAAGAGAGAGAGAGAGAGAGAGACCTGAGAGAATATAAGAGAATAGGAAAGACAAGAATGAGATCACAGAGACGTGTAAATGAGTGAGAAGGATAAAGGAGAAAGAAGAGAGAGAGAGAGAGAGAGAGAGAGAGAGAGAGAGAGATGGAAGGTGGACTTTGGATGGGTGGATGGTTCCATCTACTCGTCGTGTACATTCACCCCTTTCGTTTCACCTCTGGCGTTCTCCATCTGCCATCGTTCTAGCGAGTTGAGCGAGGCAACTGCTTATGGCGTCATAAGCAAACTCGCGAAACGTCCGCCACTACCTACGTCGTAGTCGTCGTTGTCGGAGTCGTTGTCGTTGTTGTCGTCGAGCGTGTGAGAATGTCTGCGAGAAGAGCTTCTACGAGGCAGCAACAGCAGCTTCAGAGTTGGATGGTAACATCCTTCACTCGTACTACAGACGGCCGCGCACTCGTCCAGCCGTGCACAGCCGGATGAAGACCTTTAACGTGTCTCAGGCTCGACGCCTTCAACGAATTTTCCCGGCTCGTGTGCGCTCGCTCGTGCGTGAAAAGCGCGTTCGTTTCTCTCCGACTTCTCCTCTTCCTCTCTCCCTTTCTGTTTGTGTATGTGTGTGTGTGTGTGTGTATATATTTATCTCTCTCTCTCTCTCTCTTCCTCTCTCTTTTTCTCTCTGCCTTTTCCCTCTTCCTCTTTTCCTACAATTCGTATATACCTACGTTTATTCCTGTAAGCTCACTAGGCAGCACGCGGCAAAACTGTCTGCTGCAAGTCATATGATTTTAAGGCAAGAATCTCGCGAGGCAACACAACCACGAAAGATGACGGTGAATTTTACTCGAGTGCATGCTCCCGGCTACGAAACTTTCTACCACTGAGCTCGCGCGCGCGCGTGAGAGAGAGAGAGAGAGAGAGAGAGGGAGAGAGAGAGAGAGATTACGGGAATGCGATTCTTGAAGAACATGAAACGTGCTCTCCGTATTTTCTATGAATTTAAAAAGTTTAAGTTAATGGGTAAAACTTTTTTCTACTTTGTAGAAATGCTCTCAAAGAGACATATTTTTACATGATTTTTATACAAATTTTTATATAATTTTTCTTTTATATTTCGAAGAACTTAATGAAGTTCAAATATTTAAAGCATTTTCCAATATTCCTACGATTCATTCCAGCGATTCGGTTTTGAATTAATTAAATGGTATTAAGCGTATCTTCGTATTCTAAAGAGAGATACGTACTATATCTTTCTTAGAAAATTTGCAGACAAGGATTGCGAAGACGTTCTTACAAAAGAACAGATATCTTCGCGCAATAGGTGATGTGACGTACAGTCTTTCAAAAAATTTCTTTTCTTACCATATCGAAAGTTTAGAATTATAATATCACAAATAATAGATAGACAATATATAATCAATTATTTTACTTATTATTTGTTCAAACCAAAAAAATTCCCTGATGATCGTACAATTAATTAAAATAACATTTTATTGAATTTACAGTATTATTCGTTAAATGTAATAATATTATTACATTAGCGATAAAGACAATAATTCAGTAAACAGGAAAGGTTTAAAAAGTGATTTTTCTTGTAATTTACCAAATGTTTCTCGCGAAGGACGAAGACCATTTAACATAATTCGTAACAGTGACTGTACACCAAAAGTTCCATGGCGCAAGTTCTGGCTTCGCGCGAGGGGCGAGAGCATATTGCACAGCTGCAAAGTACCGCATTTTCCAAATCCCACGGGTCGAAAGCCGCAAAATTCCCTCTGACGAAGCGGCGAAGAAGAATGTGCGGCTGTACCGGTAGCTCGTTTTGAATTTTTCAAAGTGGCCGATAAATACGTGCGAAAATCTCGAGATTATGAGAAAAATGTTACAAATATAAAAATGAATATTGCAGATATGCATGCAAGTAATGTATATCCGGAAAAGATATGTCGTTTCCCATATATTTCGTCGAAACAAGTTAGTTGCGGTGAAAAGAGAGGAAGAGAGACAGAGAGAGAGACAGAGAGAGAGAGAGAGAAAGAGAGAGAGAGAGAGAGAGAGAGAACATTCTAATATAATATAATTACATAATAATTTTATTTAAGAATGATTAATTTAAGAGGCAGTAGATTTTCACTCTAATAAGTAAAGTAATTTCTTTTACTTTAAAAAAAATTTTCACCCATATTTGCTTCTCTAAAGAGAAACCTTTTCGAGTAATATTTCGAATTATTAAAGACATGAGACAGTTATCGTTAGTGCCTTCCTCTAATTTGAAATTCTTTCTTCAATTAAATCTTATTTCCTTTTTTTTCTTTTTTTTTTTAATTTCATGACTTTTTAACGGTTTGATCGTAACAATAGGGATTGAAGGATTAAAATGCAATAAGCGATGGCAAATATTATTATCAGACGTTATTATTATTGGTGCTTGTTAAATGAATGAACGAAATAAAGACGGATAAAAAGAAGTAAAGAATAGATGAGCAATTTTTTAAAAACGACAGGATTGAAAGGGATAATAGTAAATATAATAATGCGGGATCAAAGAGGGAAAGCATCGCGAATCGATAGAGGCGAAATCGCGTGAGCGAGGGTGCAATGCGGCAATGGCTCGAACCCTCCCGACTTTTCTCGAGTCCTTTCGCGTCCTCTTGCTTGCCTCTATCCTCTTATTCGCGTCACACGCGGACTCGACGATTCGTCTTACGTGACGCTAAATCTTTTTCTCCTTCCCTTCTCACTTACTTTCCTTTTACACGTTTCTTTATCTTAGATGTTTTCTACAAACTTTTTTCTTTTACTCGTTTCTACTTTTCTTTTAAAACTCATCAAAGATAAGAGAGGAGAAACGTTCTAACGAAGCACACGAATTATAGTTGGTTCTATTTGCGATTAAAAGATTTAAAAGAAATTGTTAAGAACAAATTTTTTTTAAATTGTAAGAATGAAATTTCGTTTAACTGTCAGTTGATGTTAAATAAGAAAACACCTTACAAGATATTCAAATATTTAAATGGAAAACGAAGAGGAATTGCTGACGTTATTGGATAGGAATTATTTAAACCGTGTGAATCGCTTGACTAGAAAATTATGTTTTCCTTCTTGCTCATCAATATGTCATAAACTCAATGGAAATTTCGTGTTCGAAGTGAAATACACGAAATGCAGGAATATTGTAATGAGATTGTAATTGAAATCTCTCGATCGTTGATAGAAATTAGCGCGTGTATTTAATTACTGAAACTATATGTACGACTAGGATTTGTATAAATCACTAAGTTTAACATGGCTACTTAATAAGTACGGTTCTAGTATCGACATGGTGATAACTTTCATAATTCATAAATGACGTTTATATCATATTAATAAAAACGATATCAACGATGTTACGATTTTGCACCGAGTAAAATAAATATCACGTCGATTTTTTTTAAATATCCTTACTGAATGAAACGAGTTTTATTTTAAATATTTTTCAAAATTTTAATTTGCTTTGTAAGTTATACCGATTTGAATTTTCTATAAGAGAAATTTAATTTTATTCCGATGAAACATTTTATGCAAATACAAATTACATAAATCTTCGAAAATGCTAGAGAAATTCCTTCGGGATAACGAAGGATTGTTCTTGACGTCATGTCCGAAGGGGAGGTGATCGTAGCGCGGATGCTTCGTCGCAGGTCCGTCATTTGTGGGCGCCATTGAAACTTGGGATCGTAAAGTCGAACGGTCGAACTTGGTGTCGACCATGGGGTCTAAACTATAAGCACCAGCAACGTTTTGGGATCAACTTCAGTGCTGTATAAAATAGCGTAATGCCCCGGGCACGTCGATCGAAATCAGGTGCAGCCAATTTGGCTAAAATCCAAAAGCCGTGACATGTAAATCCAGTTTGGATGCATCAAACGTTGTCAGTAGCATTTTGGAGATCGAACGACACACAAATTTGACACGAGCGTACCATGATAGTTATATTTCACTTCATTTTTGTCTATGTAATATAAGAGAAAATGTATGATTCAGTGCATGGATTTTGCACTAACTGTCACCCGTGAACAATACTCGATTTTACAGAATCCATTTGGAATATTCATGATGCATATCAGGATGAAAAGTTCACAAAATCAGGAGAGACAAGTTCAATTTTTCGCTTTTACTGGACTTTATAGAAGTATGTTGAACGTAATGGAGTATATCCGAATCGGTATGATTACCGAGAAATTTTATTAAAAGAGGGAAAAGTCAGAGGAAAAGGGAACAGAAAAAGGAATTTTGTTCTTCAATATATTTATCTATTGAAGCAGAGGAAAGAGCGTATTCTTGGCTGACAGAAATTAATAAATCACGATGGATACACGATGATTGGATTCATATTGAAAGTATCGAGAAAGGAACGGAACGATTTATGTTGAAATATAATTTATTTATTTTTATTTTCTTCATCATCGTACTTTTTATGTGCGATGCGACCAGTGATATCGAGTTTTTATCGAGATTAATTGATGTTAGCCGATATTTGAGTGCCTACTATTTTATTCGACTATATCACGAAAAATCTGTTAGTTAGAAAGTCTCTGAAAAAAAGTTACATATAACTCGGTACATTGAATGAACATATCGCTCACTTCAGTCAATATTCAAAAACTATCCTCTTTTTGAAGTAGTAGAATTCTTTTTAATGGTTAGCTTTTGGTAGAGTACAGCACTCCGGTTTTAATATGTAGGTATGTATCTATATAAGCACGATGTATGTATACCGTATGTACATCAAGTACATATCAAACACAAAACGTATTTGTGGGATACATATATATATATATATATATATATATATATATAAAATACAAAATAATCCACAACAGAGATCGAGTTTATTTAATCCACTAATAAAATAATCTTTCAATTCGTTTGTTTGTAAAAATATTGACATTGTAAAAAAGAATAGAGTAAAATGAATTTTCTACTAAAATTTGTAACATTTCTTTGAAGTTTCGATAAAAATTATTTTACTTGTTATTATTATATTTCGTGTCTTTCTATTTCGTTGTAATGTTACACTTGAATCACGTTAGTAATGTGATAAACGTTGCTAGAAAATTTGTTAGAAAGGAAAAGGATTGTGAATCATCTCAAATGGACCGCAAGGAGGACGTACAATGCACGTACGAATGTTTTTCGAGTGGACTTTGAATGGCTTCGACCCTCATCTCGAAGAAACGACTCGCACGGATGCACGACAATTTCGCTAAAATTTGCACCAGTAAGTGGACGCGGTTAGGCTGGACGCGTTAGAGGTCTTTCTACTCTTCTCTACCTCTTTCTCTCTCTTTCTCTCTTTCACCCCTATTTCCATTTCCTCTTTTCTACTTGTTACATCGGCCACTTTATTTTATTGCCGGGCACTCTTCTTACTACGTAACAAGAGAAGCCCGATATAGCTTCCTTTGTCCCTTCAGTGCACGCAAACGAAGGCGGTGCGAACGATTAGTACAGTGCTGTTGAAATGGTTATTATTCTTTACCGCACACCATTTCTCTTCACTCGAGAATTTCAAATATAGTAGTCCGTCTGTAAGTGCACTT